TTTCCCATTGTGGATTTCTCATTTTCTCTCCCTCCCTCATTCCTTCCATCCGTTAATAAAGAAAAACTTGGTTTGATCAGAGAAATAAATTGAACGAAAGCAAGAATACACTGTTTCTGGAACATACGAAGCAACCTGCTGCTTCTAATGAAATATAGACGATAGCTAGCACGTCCCCAAACGATTTTAAGTAGAATGGTGGGATGATGTGTCTGTGTGTGCGTGATACCTTTTTGTCTTTAACCAGCGACCCACGCTTTTCATAACCAGTTTTCTGCTCCTCTATAGGGACCCAGCAACTCCCCTGTCCTCCCCCCACACACACAAAATAGAAACACAGACAGCGGCGCATTAACACAGAAACACACATACTCTCACACATAAGTGAGTGTAAGTTGGTGTTTTCTAAAGGTTCATTTTGATTCTTTACAATCACTTTGTAGATGTCACATCAATACTGTGCGTCATTGTATCAAGTGAAATGTGCATTTGAATATGTTCCACTCCCTCTGTGTGTTTAAGTGCCACATTAAGCACTCTAACATCAATACATCTTTACCTATTCATTTTAAGACATTGTTATATTCACAGTCTCTGCTCTTCAATTATCATTGTGATCTAGTAGTTCGGCCTTGCTGGAAATCTGCTGTATAAAACAGATTTTATTTCTGCAATCTTAGTCGGTTCTTTTCCAGTATACAACAAGCTTTGAATTACATATTTTACACATTTACTCTATATATTTCAAAATACTTAAACATAAAACGTCTTTAAAGGTCACATGAGTCTAACTTAATATAATATAATAAATTAATGTATTAAATATAATAAAGATTAGACAAGCTTATGATGTCATTGGTAAACTTAAGTTGTGTTAGCACATGCTGTTATAATATCTGTTGAGTAATACTGTCACTCATATTTAGATATCTTTTATATATATTTTTTTTGTGTGTGTGTGTGTGTGTCAAAGTTAAGTTATCATGGTATTACATTGTGCTTACATCCCATATTTGAGACAAATATCAGTCAATTAATTCATGAGTTAACAGACAGGGACCACAGCGTTCAAAGATGGATGAGAATTTGCTTGTGTTTTGTGGTTAAAACACTTGATGTTCATCAGACTGCACTTACTGTTAGTGTGTTAGTGAGTGAGTGTGTAAGAGAGTTAGTGTGTGAACCCTATGAAGATCTTAGCTCTTAGGGTGAACTGAAAGGCGCTGATAAATAAAATGCATTATTATTATCAATTTACAATAGATTCAGCCCTATGTATAAAAATCCTATTTCAACACTTGACTTTACTAGTGACAAGTATGTAGGAGTGAACCTTCTTTTACCTGTCGGTGAAATCGCACTGTGAGAGACATACAATGTATTTTGAACAGTATTCATTCCATGCACACTGACTGAATTCTATTCACACATCAACACTACTGTGCAGATCCACCACAGCAGCTTGGGGTTAAATGCTTTGCTCAAAGGCACTTCAGTGGCTGACAGATGCAGTTGAGACTTCTGCTGCCTTTTTGATGTAGACGGCTTTGGAAAATACAAGCAAATTCTCAACAGTATTTGTGAAAACAGCTGGTCTCGTGTGGCAGTATATGCTGGAACATTTGTTGCACTGAATTGACCCAGTTAGTTTGACATGTGTGTGTGTGTGTGTGTGTGTGTGTGTGTGGTGTGGGTGTGTGTGTGTATTGACATGGAAGACAGATTCATCAGTTTGTCTCACATTAACAGATTGCACCTCTCTGACCTCACAGCTGCGTAACAACATGTGAAATGAGTGTTGTGTGTATTTGCTATTGTGTCCGTCTGTGTTTGTTATTGTGTGTGAGACTGTGACTGAATAAAAGCATGTTGCGTGACTGCGTGACTGCTCTTTCATCATTTGGATTTATGTTTGTGTTTGCAAGTGTGTTTAATAATAATAATAATAATAATAATAATAATAATAATAATAATAATAATAATAATAATAATGATAATAATATCCTTATTTGGAAACAAAGTGATTCACATAGAAAGCAAAGAACACAAATTATATAACATAGAAACATATAAAAACACAGCAGTTAAAAGCAGTAAAAAATATTGAATGAATCACATTTTGCATTTTATTTTTCATGTGTAGGTGCAAATGGATATGTATATTGTAAACACACCTGCTTCCCCCTTGGAGACTCATGTTGAAAAGAATGTCTAGGTAACAAACATCACACTGATTGTCTGGGTGTCGAGTTTACTCAAGTCAACCTTATTTCAAAAGAGAATAACATAGAGCTCAAGTGGGGAGAGAGCGGGGACACAGACACCAAGCATGCCTGCATAAACTTTCATTTTGCTTCAGTAATAAGACACACCTCTCCTCTGCCATGCAAGCCCATAGTAATATGACTTCAACAATACACACAGACACACATATACAGTTCATACACATGCAAACACACACTCTCTATCACACACGCCCCATTTGTCCAAAGTAAAACTGTGGGAAGAAATCTCTCCAAGTAACAAACATCGCATCTCCTTAAAAAACTGAAAATGAAACAAATACCCAAAACAAAACAAAAAGACACTTACTTACACACTTACTAACCCTACCTCCTTGGAATACAGCAAAACAGTGTGGACTAAACAGAGCAAAAATATGGAAGCTCATCCCTAAAACTACACTGCTATTTACAAAATGTGAATTATTCTATTTACGAAATTTACACAGACACTTAACAGCTAATCAACCAGGGCAGTAGGCCTAATATGCTCTAACTACGAAAGGGTTTGATGGTCAAGGACAGAAACGAAGTGCTGCTGTCAGACTGCTGCTCTAAAACCCACACATTTTAAAAGGCAGGATGTTATGTTAGGACCAGTCAGCAGCAGACGCTCCTCAGGCTGAACCTGCAAATCCAGTAAGTCAGAAAGACACAGAAAGACACATAGAGGTTGATGCTTAAATATCCTTGCAGGAAGAAAGTGCACTCTCTCAAACAACCACAGCCACACAGAACACAAGAAACACTAGTCACAGGTTAGGAAATACAGCCATGGCTGTAACACTGTGTGTGTGTGTGTGTGTGTGTGTGTGTGTAATAAACAATAAACACTGACCTAGACTAAGGTCTAGAAGAAGTTGTCTTTGCTTTGTCATACGTGTATGTATGAGTGTGTCTGTATGACATTGTTAGTATGGAGATAAGACTTGTTTTTTGGTTAGATTCAGGGTTAGGTTAAGGTCACAGTGAGCATCCAGGAAATGAATGTCAAGTACATGTCAACAAGTACAGCAGTCCAATTGTGGGTGTGTTTGTGGTTCCAAGTTTGCTCCGTCTACACACTCCTTCTTCTTTAAAAGTCACTGCGCTGCCCTTTAAAATCAAAATGCCATCACATCCAGGCAACAGTTTCTGATAATACATATCAGTAGTTGAATGAACAAATGTAACATCTATTTCATTGTATTTCTTATTTGACGGTTTCTTTTTTTGATATAGTCTACACAATAGAAATCTTCCTTGAACAATACATGTAGCAGGTTACTATATTTAGAACCAGTGTTGTTCTTAAATTCAAAATTTTCTAAATATGTACTTTGGGAAATACTTTATTGTACTGTAAATACTGTAAGAGAATCATTAATAGCAAAGGCAACAAAGAAATGAAAATGGCTTTATTTTCTAAATCATCGCACAAGATTTGATGTTGGCTACCGATGTAGTGTAACAAAAAGACAAAACAAAATCTTAACTGCATCCGAAGTAAAAGTAACACAATTTAAAACAGACAGAGAGATAAAAACCTACATTAATTCAGTACACTTTCCCACCTATGCAATAGAGCAAACACGCACACCTAGACACTCTTAGAACTGCATAGTCACACCTGGTTGATTCAGTATATCTTCTCATCCACTCTCTCGCCAAATAGTCTCCCACTTCGAACTCTCAGTCCAGCTGATGGCAGTCAGCCAAATGGAGCTGGCCGACCCATAAAAGCTCCATCCTGTGCCATAAAGCTGAAACTAAAACACACTTAAACTGCGAGTCGACAGAGAAAATGTGTTTTACGTCCTGGTTCAGAACCCTCAGGGCGTGGATACATTAAGTCGTTGATATACAGCTCCAGCAAATTAAACAGCTTGTGGTGTTTCTGCTTTCTTTGCTGCATCAAGCATCAGCCGGATGCTGCACAAACCTGGTCAACCATTTCTAAAAAAATTGTCTTTTTCGAGACTTTTCAAGAGATCTCTGCAACAGTTGAAAGATGTAAGAAGCGTTCATTAATCAGGAAGACACTGGTCTGCACTGCAAAAGAAATGATGGCATGGAAACTGGTTTCATACACTTGTATGATGTATGATTTATTATGTGTTTATGGTCTCAATTGCTATTCTCATGTCTTCTTCAATACAGCTTGATGTTTATTTTGTAAATTATGGTCCCATTCAGATTAAAATACACAAGAATACAGGGTATGCTTTAGTGTGGTGCTACCATGTGACTGACAAGTCCCTACCCCAGTGACCTGTCAGGCTTAGCAATGCATATCCTTTACCAGCTCCACCCTTTCATCTAAATATGGTCATTTCTAGTTCCCAAAAAAACAAGTTGGCAAAGGCCAATACGCCAAACTTGAGGCTTCAAAATGGTAGTCCGCAAGCCAATGGTGACGTCATGGTGGCTATGTCCACTTCTCTTATAGAGTCTGTTTTGTGCGATCAGGGCCCCTATACTCAACTAGTTTTAGTGTCTTCTGGAACATTACTGGAATGACAGAAACAATGGAAACCAATAGAACTAGATATCCAACATGCTGGATTCATGCTGAGTTCCTATAATTTCCTTGGCTGTTTTAAATGATTTATTCCTTGGGAATAGTTGTAATGTCTGTCATTATTGTTCTTGGCAGTGGAAGAACGTTTTAACATTTACCTGTACTGTTTTGATCACATTTTAACTGTCTCTGGCCTTTTTCTGTTTTTGTCTCTGAAGGTTCGTTCATGGTGGTGAACGCGTCTGGCCGGGCGTCGGGACAAAAGGCTCACCTTTACATGCCCACCCTGAAGGAGAATGACACCCACTGCATTGACTTCCTCTACTCCCTGTCCAGCCGGGACGGAGCCAGCCCAGGCACGCTCAACGTCTACATCAAGGTGTGTGCGTCAGTCTGTGTGTGTGTGTGAGTGAGTGACTGACTGACAGGGATGGATGGATTGACAGATGGAGGGGCTGATACACTGAATAGACTAAACAGGTAAACAAACAAACAGACCTCTCTGTTCTCTGTCAAGGAGGGATGAAGTTAGCCCTGGGGCATTGAATGTTTATGTAGGGGTTTGTGTGTGTGTTTGAGAGAGAGAGAGAGAGAATGACTGGCAGGGAAAGAGACAGACCTCATCTATTCCCTCTTAGTAGAGATCAAGTTAGTCCTAGCATACTTCATTTAATAGTATGGTTATTAGAGTATTAATGTGTTTTTGGTAAAGAAAATGCTAGGTAAGCAGATTAATAATGTTTATTTACAGAAACCAATGGACACAAATCAAGAATAAGAAATAATTGTAAAATGAGCTACAACAAAACCAGCTAACATTAGGCATAGAAACCAGGGGTGTTAACATAAGTGTTTATTAAAAGATTATCTGTGTTGTTGAGCAGAGGCAAGAGTAAATGTTTTATATTATGGTCTGAAGTCACTGATGGACACGTGGTAAAATGAATAGCTGGCGAGGTAAGAAGGGAGCTGTGGATGGAGAGTAGAGTGTTGAGAGGACAGACTAGTGAGAACAAAGTGAAGAAATGTAAAGATAGAAGAAAAGGATTAAGGTGAGCATCCAGGAAATTAATGTCAAGTACATGTCAACAAGTACAGCAGTCCAATTGTGGGTGTGTTTGTGGTTCCAAGTTTGCTCCATCTGCACACTCCTTCTTCTTTAAAAGTCACTGCGCTGCCCTTTAAAATCAAAATGCCATCACATCCAGGCAACAATTACAGTAATGTAATCATCTCATCTCATTAAACATTAAAATTACACCTTTACTTTTTCCGTAAAACTCTCCAGTTTTATTTTCTAAAACCTGCAAATACTGTGTTATTTGTTTCATCCTCTAAATATCTTATTATTGTATGTCTCTTCTCACTTTCTGCCCACAGGTGAATGGAGGTGCTCAGGGTAATCCAGTATGGAACGCCTCTGATACTGTTACTGAAGGCTGGGTGAAGGCTGAGCTGGCCATTTCTACATTTTGGCCTAACTCGTATCAGGTAACACACACACGTTTTGTCTTCGCTGGCATGGCTATCCATTAGTAACATTACTGCAAAAGCTGACTGCAAGACATATGTAGACAATACATGATGAAAACAATAATACGGTAGCCTATTTTTAAATGTCAAGAGAAATTATTAGGTAAACGTCTTTTCTGAAAGAGCTGCCTACTCATCTTTGATCATCAATTCATCATCTAGAAAAATAGAATAAGCCAGAGATTAAACTTCTCCTTTAATGTAATCAACTCCCTAATCAAATGTATCAGGCAGATACATATATTTGATATTATACTGTCCATAAACTCGGAGGGTAGAATGCTAAAAATAGCTGTTGGCAAAAAACAAAACTTCAGTGGGCTTATTAACGTTTTGGCAAAAGCCGAACATTCAGTGGCATGAGGAGACATTGGGGAGCCTCGTTAATCTAAACTACTTAATCTCTGTCTTAATCATATTAAAATACATATTTTAAGGACACTTCGATTTTTAATAGATGTGAAAAGAGAACAGCAAGTAAGGCAAAACTCAACATACATGAAAGGTGTTAAGTGATTTTGGAGAGGTCTGTGTGTACACGCCTCCATCAACCTAAGTCACACAAACTGTGTGTTTTGCTCTCTGTAAAGTTTATAGACTAACACTGGGGCTGAAATGAAGAAAGAAAACTGAGGTTTAGAGTTTGTCCTGGGTGCAGAGTTGAATTGAGTTTCTTCATAAGTAGTAAAAAAAAATAAAGGCCTCTCTCCCTTGGTGTATTCCTTTAATATTGTAACAGAAAACTGTTGCTATTTAATGACTCTCAGTATGTCTGTGTGTGTGCAGAGACATACCCTGCTGTGTTATTTTTATTGAGGTAGCACAAAAGTGACTGTCTAATGACTGAGCTATGTTCAGTAAATGAAGGCACCCCTGTATCGCACACACAGATCTGAGGCACAATGGTATCCAAAGTGCATTAAATGTGTGTGTGTTTCCCTTCCTAATGAGGAGTCCCCTCCCATGGAGAAATGACACTTCTTTTTCAAAAAGGACAAAAACATTGTCATATTAAAGTACAGACTACTGTGGGGGCAAGAACAAACTTAGGGTAACCTATCATTCTCTTTCGAACAGGCTTTATTTTTGTTGCAGTAGGTTATAGTGTGTTATACTACTTTATTGGAAGTTGTTTTTTGGGGGGATTTATTTGCACTACAACAAAAATAACTATTATTCACTTATCCCACTGTTGACATGGATTTGCAAGATAAAACACAACATATCATATTTTCATTGCATGTTTTACTTAATATGATACAATTCTGGTCTGTGGCCATGTAAACCATGGGATTTTTTTTACTCAGTGGAGAAATCACTGCCAAAACATTGTATTCTTTTGATTAGAAAAACAGGAAGATCTGTGAGAAGCAACCAGCAGAGAGAGAGAAAGCTCACAGATTATCTTGTGCAGTTTTGTGAAGGTTGCCAATTTAATTTGTACACCTGAGAATGCATCATAATTAATTATGACTCCATTGTTCTGTGTCAATAAACAATAGACGTTATGGAAAGATTACAGATCTGAAAAATCTGTATATTATTGTAAATGGATGTGATGGGGGTGAAAAATCTGAACGTTGCACACAAAGACTTATTTTTTGAAGGAAAGGAAGAGAGTAAAGTCTTCCCAGAAGTCTTTATTATTCAGACCAAGTCCCAGCTTATACTGTTGAGGATCCTGACAAGTACAGCACAGAGGTATATGTGTGTGTGTCCTCAGTGTGTGTTTGTGTATGAGTATGCAGTATGTGCGGGTCAGAAGTGCATGGCCCCTTGACAGCCCTGCCTGACTGCCTGTCACCCTGAGTGTGTTTGTAAAGTATTGGATAGAGCAAATGGAAGAACAGAAAAAGAGAGTGATGTGATGGGAGAGAAATAGAGAAATGAACAAAGGAGCGACTACAAGAAGAAGATCATAAATGAGCTGATAGAGAGAGTCAGCATACATAGAGAGACAGGCAGAACAGGAGAGAGATGAAAGAGACGGCTGAGAAGAAACATAAGGAAAGAAAGAAATGAGAGGAACAGGGAGTGATCAAGAATAGAAGGAGAAGGAGGAGGTTGTGGTAAGGAGAAGAGGAAAGACAAGAGGAGGGAAAAGGAGGAACAGCATATGTGGTTGGCATAAGGATGGAGACAGAAGGATGAAGGGATGAAATGAAGAGAGGAATAGTTGCTGACTTTCAGTGGAAAATTCCCCTGGGGTTTCCATATGAGCTTCGCAGGGTCGTCAAGATGTTTTAGTTTGTGAAGGAAATGAATTTTTTTTTTTTTTTTGAGTTTCATTGCTTTTAGAGAAAACTGTGGCTCAGCTTGATTCTTTCTTTCCTTCTTCTCTCAGGTAATATTTGAAGCAGTTTCAGTTCAAGGCCATCCAGGTTTCATCGCCATCGACGACATTCGAGTTCTAGCTCACCCCTGCCGTAAGTGAATCTGTGTGTGTGTGTGTGTGTGTGTGTGTGTGTGTGTGTGCGTGTGTGCGTGTGTCTGTGTGTGTGTGTGTGCGGTTCTGAGCATGCGACCGCGTTTGGGTGCGTGCGTCTTGCAATGGTTGACCCTGCACAACTGTAGCCACACTGAGCATCATCTGTTTTATAGCTATCTCACACCTACACACACACACACACAAAGGCTGTTTTTTTAAACGACAGATTGTGAGGCTTGCAGACAGATTGCAGAGAACCAGGAAGAAGGTCCAAACTCAGGGTCTTCATCACTCAAATCTGACAGAAGCACTTTGCTTCACAAAACTCCAGACTGCTTACTGCAACACTCTGTGGCCTACTTACCTCTCTGTCTACTCAGTATAACTATTCTCACTGTCTGTTGGCAGTGCATTTTTACATCCAAGTATTAGTTTCAAATTAATTCAGTTCAGTTCAACTTTATAGACATTATGCTTAAGTAGAACAACTGCTACTCTATATCGAGTCTTGTTACACGTTTTAAAAACTATAGAGGGGGTCTATTAAAAGGTAGTACATAATTGTAACTCTTCTTGTTAATCTATTTTGTCTTTTCTGAACTGCTGGCACAGAAGACCTAGCTCATCTGTGCCAATCGCTAATCAGATTAGTAAAAGTGGGTAAGTCAATGATGGAAAGCAAGAGGAAGAGAGTAGAGGTATTCACAACAGAAGAAAGGAATTGAATTAGAAAACTAAAATCCGAGATGATGTTAAGAGACAAAGGAGAAAGAAGAATGTACAAATAAGGAAAGGTTACCATAAAATACAACCTTCATATCTAAGTCCTTTTCATTTGCAACAACCTGACCATTAGCGTCAAGCTGAATTATGATTGTTTAATGATCGATCCATACTCTGTTAGACTTATCTCTGTCTGCAGACAGTCAAAATGAAATTTACCAGTCGCTGGCTAGTCTCAATGCCAGGCCAAAGTCACCCATTGTCTGGCAGTCTGTCTCATTGTCTGCCTGCTCATCTGCTTTCCCATGAATTTCTCTGCCTCACTCCAGACAACAATATTAAGCCCTGTTTGAACAGGGTTACTATTGTTGTGGGTTTTCCTGCAAGTGTTGTTTCTTATTACCAGTGGCATCTGCTATTATAATCCACTGTGAATCTACCATATCTTTAATAACAAGATGGCATCCTTCAGTTGCCTGCCAATTGCTTTAATATGTGATTATGGAACTTTGGATGTTTCTCAAGTACTACCCAAAATAAAACGAAAATGAAAATAAAAAGGCTTTAGTCTTTAGGGATGGGGAACCGTTGGTTTCTGAAAATGATCCTTTAAAATTCCTTGTAGAAGATCCTCAACAAAAGCAATAGTTCTATACCATTTTTATATGATCCATTATATGATCACAACAAAAAAATAATAATAATCAAAAATGTGATCAAAAATACCCCTTTTATTTTATTTAATTCTACAAAATACTCTACAAATTTTTTCCACAGTGTGTGTCTAAAAGTGTTGGTTTACTGTGTATGTTGCAGGTAAAGCGCCTCACTTCCTGCGTCTACAGAATGTAGAGGTGAACGTGGGTCAGAATGCTACGTTCCAGTGTACTGCTGGAGGGAAATGGTCTCAGCATGATAAACTCTGGCTACAGGTTAGTACCTTCTTATCAGTAAATATGTGCATGAATGATATCAGCAGGAAGTGTACATGCAGAACTTGATCTGCTGGTCAGAATCCTATAAATGTTCAAATATTCTAAAACTGGTGTAATGGACTAATTCTCTGTTTCAGGGGCAGATTTTCAGTGGGATTTGTGACATATATGTTGAATCTAATGCTGCACCGTGGCATATCTCAGAGTAGTAATGTGTACCTCTTTTTATAGACTACTGTCAGCCAATCAGAAAGAATCAGTATAAGAATGGATCTACTGAGCCATCCAAGATTCTAGTGAACATTCTGCAAGAAAGAATATAAATTACTAAAAGCCCAATATAGCAAGTACGATTATGTTTTTTTATGCCATTTTATTAAAATAAAATAAAATTAAAAAAGTAAGTACACTGTGGCAAACATCCCTAGCCTTCCCAGCTCTATTTCAAGATTGATTAAAAGTCCTTGTTCTGCTCCACACCAGTGACCCCATCTCTGTACAAGTGACAAGTGTGTTGGTGTGTACGTGTGCATCCATGCCTGCATACTCTGTTTAAATTAATTTGCACCGGCAAGCTTGCATGTTTTTACCACACATGAGTTTATACCACTGAGAATGCTACTGTGTACAGTAATGACATTTGCAATGGAGAGAAGTGAGCCTCCTGACTGGAGGTCTGTTGAGCAAAGCATGTTTCTCCAAATTGGCAGATAATACTACAGTGGTAAAAGAAGATTAGATCTGGAGATGTGCGGATCCTATGCAAAGCAGAAAGTGGCAGCAGTACACTTCATTCATGTCTGATCTGCTCAGTCCAAATTGCTTCTGCTTCCTGCCAGGTCTTTGACATCAATATAGTATCATTACTATGTCCTTTGTCGCGTGTCTCTTGTAATCACTGTAAATTGACAAATGACTAAAAATACTGCAGAACCTTTACCAAAAGATCAGTCAGAACATGCGGCAACACTTTTGCCAATAATTGAATGATCTTATCTTTCCAATCATGCAGCAGTGGAACGGCAAGGACACAGCGCTGATGGTGACCAGGGTGGTGAACCACCGGCGTTTCTCTGCAACCGTCAGCGTTGGTGACACATCCCAGCGCAGCACCAGCCGCTACCGCTGCGTCATCCGATCAGACGGCGGGTCAGGGGTGTCCAACTATGCCGATCTAATTGTCAAAGGTACATTATATTGTTTATCTAGTTTCACATAAAAGTACAAGTGGAAGGCAAACTACCAGTCACTTAGAAGAAGAGTATTTGTAATGAATGGTTGGAAGAAGAGCAGCGCTTGACAGATCTTTGTGGATGGTGTTAAATGGGACTACTTCTTTAATGCAGAGAAAGTGAAAAACAAGCCTGGGTTGTTGTTGTGTAGTTCTTTGTATGTGTGTGTGTGTGTGTGTGTTTGGCTGTTGTTCATTAGTGCTGTTGTAAGCTTCTGAGGACAGAATACTGAACAGACTTCAGAGTAGTGACTTGAACTCACAATGAGCCCTCTTTCACTCTTTTTTTTCACATTTTTGTCTCGGTCAGCCTTTCAATTCATTTTCCCGCAGTGTCTCATGTTCCTTCCCTTTCTCCCAGGTCTTGAAGTAGATACCAACACTGTTGTACCGTATTGTTTACAATAGGGTATGCCCCATGAACCGTTTTGGCTGGACAAACACTTTTTAAACCCACATAACTCTAATTTAAAGTCCACCAAAGTTTCCAAAGATACCAAAAAGAAATATGTTTACCATCTTACACAAGTAATTCATTTCTTAATGTGATGTGATGTAATGGAGTTGCTATATAAAAAATGTAGTTATAAATATTTCACAAAATAGGCAACTTTATAGATTTACTGAAGTTCATAAACAAGCACAGAATTAATGGAAAATACTGTTTTACTACTAGTACTTAAGCTAAAACGTAATGGGAGTATTTGGATTTAAGTGCTTAAGGCATATAGTAACTTGAATACTAATCAAAAAGCAATAATTATATTGAATAAAATTTTCTTTTTACAATAAATTTTATGATCCTCCTCTTTCTTCCCTGCTGGCCTATTTTTGTTTCTCTTTTCCAATGTTTTCCTTTCACCCCTTCTCACCTCTTGTTTCCTCTGTCCCTCTTATATTTATCTGTGCTGCTCAACAAATCCCTTCGCTGTGGACATTCAAATCCTCTAATGCAATCTACTCATCTCTGCGCTTACACTCAATACAGGGCAAAAATATGAAGGAATCTTTGTGATTTACCATCCTACTCTCAATCCCATGGTTCATGTGAAAAACAGGAAATACTGTAGCTATACTGTCCTGCTGAGAAGGATTTTGATGTACTGCGGAGGATAGATAATGTCGTTGTAAGGCCTTTGATAGAATTATAGCCATGCAGCTATCTGTTGTTGTCAGACATTATTAGGCTACATTCCTTTACCTCTCAGTGTCTCCTTCTGTTGTACATCTCTGTATCCACCTTCAGCTGACGGACTTACTACTATTACTCAGTATGAGTACTTCTCTCAACTTTTAAGTGTCTTATGCTAAATTGTTAGCATGGATATTATAATCACTAAATATATATATGTTAACAAAATGAGCACTGCTATTGCTCAACATATTATATAATCAAGTTTTCATTTAACATACTTTATGCTAAAGTTTAAGTAATTAATCATTTTTCTGAATCCTGAAGTATTACTATCCTACTTACCTACTATCACTCAAACAATGTCAGTGTTAGCAATGACCAATCACTTAACGTATTGTGGTAGCTAAATTGTTAGCATGGTGCTGTACTTCTATGTGGATCCTTGCATGTTGACACTGCAGCCATTTTCCTCTGACGTCACACTGAAGATGGGAAGCTCAAATACTGTTATCAAAAGGATTGTTGTAATGCTGTGTTGTAAGTTGTATAAACGTAGGGAATCTGACAAATCATTATAATTTGACTATACTTCCCAATTGATCAGAAACTGAATAGAAAATGGAGGGACATTACGCCACATTTCAAGGTAAAACAACACCACAACATATTTGATAACCCATTAGGTACCGTTAAACAACAGTTAACATTAAAGAGGTGGTATTAAAAGCATACTTTCTGTTTTTTTCCCTCTCCTTTAGTGAGTTATATATCTTTTTTGTGCATGTTTGCAAAGTGAAAAAGCCCAAAGTCCACTCCAAAGGGAGTTCCCATCTCCTACAGAAAACTCTGCTCTGAACTGCCTGAAAACAGCTCGTTTGTAGTCCAGCCTTTACTTCCACCTTCTTGTGATGTCACAAGTAAATACGTGTCATAATGCTCACTGAGCGACTAGTCTGACACGCCCTCATGGTGTTTTTTGAAAATGAAATCATGTAAACCTGTTCTGGTACAACCTCTAAATATGATTGAACCTGAAAATGAGCATAAAACCACCTCTTTAACATTCAACCAGCTCCAGGCCAATAATACTGTTTAATTGTAATGTAATTACTTTTAAAACATCAACGTACATCTTGGACAGATTTATTTAAGCCTGGAAGTAAAACGGCAGGGATGTGTTGCTGTCTCTATTGAATAACGATTTGTCAGATTTCCTTGCAACCTGGAACACAATAGCTTTGCACCTTGTGCCTATGTAAGATGGGAATTGCATTTGGACAAGCATTCCTCTCTATGTTAAAAATTTTATGTGAATTATAGTTGTTTGTTATTTCTATGAAACATGAAAAAAATCTTCATGTGGTGCATGGGGAATTGTTTGTTTTTTAATGAAATTTAAATTGCATCACTGGAATACATTTAAATGAAGAGGCACACTGGCCTAAATGATGTTCTCAATGCATATTTGGGAGGAATTATGCTGTTAACCTTATTTGGTGTGAAGGATGTTCAATCTACAGGGAGGCTGGAGTGTGTGTCTCTGTGTGTGTTTGTGTGTAAGTGTGAGTGTGTGCTGTTTTGATTAGATGATAGTCCAGGGACTGAAACTGTCATTACCATCTGTTAGCAGAACACACAGACTGTACTCCTGACGTCCAAATGTGTGTGTGTGTGTGTGTGTGTGTGTGTGTGTACCCTGCTGAATGTGTCTCTTGGCGTTTGTGTTTTTGTCCTCTGTATATATTTTTTTGTGTGCGGTGTGTGTGTGTGTGGCTCAGGTGCAGTTAGCCATGCATTGTGCCAGGGGAATAAGCCCATGCCAACACAGTGAGCAAGTGAGATATGCAATATTACACACGCACATCGATGAGCACACCTCCCTGAAGCCCTTTGTGTGTGCCGTGTGTGTTGCCAAATGTGTGTATTTGTGTTATTGTCCTTGATTTGTATGTTTGTGTATTTTTGTGTTTTTTTTTTCTTCATTCTATTCATTCATGTGTGTTGGGATCATCTGTGTGTAGCTTAATGTGTCACCATGTGTGTGTATCTGCATGCCTTTTTATTTGTGTGTTCATGTGTGAGGTGTCATGGTATTTGTGTGTCCAAATTAATTTGTGTGTGTATTTGTGTGTTCTCCTGAGCTGCTAAGTGAAATCAGGGTTAATTAGTACGTTGTTCAGCCAGGTGTGACCAGGGGAATCTGGAGAGAGACACTTCTCATGTTACAGCGCCCTCTGTTTGTGTGTGTGTGTGTGTGTGTGTGTGTGTGTGTGTGTGTGTGTGTGTGTGTGTGTGTGTGTGTGTGTGTGTGCGTTCCCCGTGCTCATGCATGCATGTTAATCTGACACGACACTACTGGCCAGTCGAACAGATGATGTCTTCCTTGCTGACTAACTGAAAAAAGCAGCTGAAATAAAATGTTCGGAATGAATCTAGCAACCTTCTGGAGGAGTTGTATTTGAAAGCACCAATCACCAATCACCAATGCGTCAATAGAATAATACTCATTCAAAAGTAAGTACTGACAATTTTACTCAAAGCACATAGCATCATTCACATGATTCTGATGGCATATAAAAGGGGTATTCAAAGAGGTCCAGTTACAGAAAATTTCCTGAAGCAAAGGTCCGGAACATCAAAACGACTAACTTGCGTTATCATTCAGTACCATAAATAGTTCTATCAACATATGTTTTTAGTCAAAAACGGACTGTCAAATCAAATCAAATTTCAGTCAGTTTTCACATCAAACTGGAGGGATAATAAATAATAACTACTCTAATAATAAATTATAAATTTAAGTAAACTAAAATAAAATGCCTAATTTTTAGAAAAAATTAAATAAAAATGTATCTTGAAGTGATGAAGTGTAGTCTTAACCAATTTTAGAATAAACACTCAACACTAAACACTGTAATGCCTCCTCTTCTCTTTCATTCCCTTACAGAGCTGCCACTCCTACTTTCTCTTGTTCAGTGAAAAAACGTGAGCTCTAGTTTGTCCTGCCAGCTAGCATTGGAGTTCTATTAGATATTCTGGTTTTGAACTGCCCGTGGGAGGAATGTACATATAAAAATCTGTACATTCTTGAATAAAAGCCATATGAAATCGCTTTTCCCTTTCGTCTGCTCAATTCTTGCGTGTTTCCAAAACGTCTCTGGTGAATCTCGTGGACTCGACTCGCAAGCATTGGAAAGCACAGATTTTATTGGCTGAGCAGCATCACATGAGACGATTGAAGCACATTGGTCTGTGAGTTTCCAGGGCCTCTAAAGCAGTACAGTAAATGCTAGAAAAGCTGCGCGGGTTAAAATAGAAACTCTGAGGTAGTAAGTCTCATTAATAAATCGGCTGTAGGTCGGCGGTCCAGAGAGGACAGCGGCTGGGTCCGGATCCGGACCGCGGTCCGCCTATTAGTGACCTCTGGCATATAATATATAACACAAATTACTTATTGCTTAATGTTATTTTAGAATAATGGGTAACACAAGTGGCATGTTGTCTATCTACATTCATACTATCTAGTGCAAGCCAAAATATTACTCTGTAAAGTAACTAGTCCTCTGGCCTATACTCTTTTAATAATAACACATTTTATTGGTAATGCTGATTTCATCAAAGAAAACAGAACAACTTTGACTGCACAACAAGCAACACAGCAAATTTAAAATATCATAGCACAACTCAGAGGCAAGAAAAATATTTCTATAGAACAGTAGTATTTATATTGCTTAGTACTTTTATAGTAAACCTTGAAGAGAAAAGAAAGAATAACTTAATAAAGTGTGTGAAAAGGGGAGTTTCACACAACTAGCAATGGA